ACAGCGACTGCGTAGCGAAATTTCACCGGATTCGCTGATTTATCGTATGCCCCATCGAGTTCTCTGCGCGGAATGAAAATTTTATGAGCACTCTCGTCGGCCCGAGGGACGTTTGTTCGTTTCGACGTAAAGGAATCTGAATGGAAAAGTAAATAGAACGGTTATTGCGGTTTTTGTTACACCGAGACCATCGTTATACGAAACAGTTTCTACGAACAATCGCGATCATTGGGAACTGGAGTCGTTTTCAATATTTCCATCGTCGATTCCGATAGGTAAAAATAATCGCAACGTTCGCAATAGAGGATGTAAGGGAATCTACTGATTCACGACGATTACAATCCATATCGGTGACACGACGACTGAGCAATTCCGTTTATTAACGAAACGATGCTCGGCAAATATTAATTATTAATCATTTGCGTGATGATCGTTCATGTCGAGACGCCGATCCGGCGTTGCAACGGCGATGACGGCGATGACGACGATGGCAAAGCGTGCATCTCGCGCGCTAGGCAACCGTGAGCTTTTCTTAATTGGCTTTAATGATCGCGCCCTCGAAAACGGAAAGGCTCACGGCGCACAATTCTCACCGAACGTCCCTCTCTCTCTCTTTCTCGCTCGTCGTCATCGTCGTCGTCGTCGTTGTCGTCGTCGTCGTCGTCGCGTTCCAGTTACGTTTTTTTCCACGGTTCCGGCTGGCAGAAATTCTAAAGACACTTATTTCGTGAGGTTCGGCCGCCTTCTTCGTGTAACAATGAGACTGCACTTTGCGCGGAGGCAACTTGACCCACTTGTCGCTTTTTTCTTTTTTCTATTTATTTTTTAACTGGCGCACGATTGACACACGCCGCGAACAACGGAAGAACCGTGCCTACCTGGCAGCGCAGAAATTTTCACCGCCGCTCTCCTTCCCCTTCGTCTCCCCCACTGGGGTTTCCCAGTTCTCGAAAATTGTATCCACGACCGAAAATCGCATCGGTGCATCGATAACGATAATCGTTGACCAGTACACACACGTATATGCATTCCCACTGCATCTAATTACGGCTCTCGCGTAACATTAGCTCCGATCAGGCCGCTATTATAAGTAAACCAACCGCGTTATTGGCACACGAATTATTCGCGTTAATTTCGATAACGGTGGGGACCGCGCAAAGACGAAAGATCGATTACCAGGGATAATTGAGATGCGTCCGGTTTACCGGGTAAAGCATAACCGGGCAACTTCACCTGTGTAACCTAATTAGCCGTCTCTGATTGTCCCCCGGTGCGTGGCGTGTGCGCGCCGAATTACGCAGGTGCAATCGATGCGTGAGTTCATTGGACATTTTGATTATCGTTCCTATCGTACCTGTCGGAACCTAAAATTCTTTTTCCAGTAACACGATTCATCGAAGTCATTAAGAAATTAGATTGTTCTCGGTCAAGACAGATGAACGAACGTTTTCTTATCTGCGTCTCGTTGGAAAAGAATCGGATTGTTCAACCGTGGTCAATCGCTCGGGGCAACGCGACCAATAATCGACAAGATATCCCCCGGCAGTATGAACTCGGTTCGACGTTTGAAATAGTTTCACCGCGAGCATCGTCGGCTAGGTAAACTAGCTGTTAACTGGCGAAACTGGAAATGAGCATCGGGGTATCTGCATTTAATTTCCGGGCCCCGTGAACGAAACGAGACGCGTGCCCGACCAGTTTCCCGTTACTTATTTATGTCGAAACTTAAGCGTCTCGCAAATTCTTGTACCGTCGAGTCAAACGGATGTTGAAATTCTCTGCTCAATTATTTCTAACAATTATCTAGTTTAATCGTTCGCCATGCATCGGAACGTCACACGGAACGTCTACGAAGCGGTTCAAAGTGGACGAAGCAGAACCACAATTGAATTTTCGAACAAGCTCGTACAAAAATTGTACAGACGGCCTTTTAGACGAACTGTCCACAGAAAAAGGAACGAATACTCTGCTCAGAATTGTACAAAAACTGAGACACCAACAGTTATCCTCGAATTAATAACCAAAATAACGAGTCGTTCTTTCGGCTAGAGCGGCTTACGATTTTTGCACGTCGGGTGGCTACTATATTTTTAGTCGTACGCCCGTCGGGATCGCGTAACCTCTTTTCTGTTGATAAAACTCCTCCGAGGATCGCGTTGACGCGAAAAAAGGAAGACTCCCTGCGAGCGCGAATTAACGCGAAAAATTGCGGCAACTTTTGATATTTTTGCACCGTTTGATGCTCGGTGTTTTCCTCGCCGACAGTTTTGCTTAACCTCGTGTTTTCCTTCGTTCCTGGTTTTTGGTGAACGCGAAGTTGAGTTTTTAGATTTTTCACCGGCTTTGATGCGAAGGGGCTGCCAGAAGTTGCGTGTCGGCCGCAGCTATTAAGTTTCTTGTTCGTTAGACGTTTTCTTTACACCGGGGGATGATTTATGAGGTCGAGTCTCCTTAGTTAAGAGCTTTCGATGATTTCGTAGAAGGAACGCTCTCTCTGCGACGAGGCTATCTTTCAGTGATTTGCAACTCCGACCGAACTACTGTAGCAACTACGCCACTCCAATTACAATGAACTTAAACTTATTTCGTATCACCGGGAACATGAATTAGTTTCCCTTCCTCTGGAATCTCGCGAACTACCTCCGTCCTCACATGATTATACCAAGTTGGCGGTTAAAGTTAAACGGATGAACGAGAACGTCCAGTAACTCGGTAAAAACTACGTAAATTAAGTCATTACGTTATTGTGGAAACTATTAACTAATGTAACGGAGGCAGTGACTGTCGTCCATTGCCTGTCCTCGCGATTCGAACACGTCTGGGCGCAGCAGCGGTGATGAACGCTATACATAGCGAAAATTATAACATCTACGATAAATTCCCTCGCCAATATGTATGCAAATTCGAAAGAGAACTCCGTGTCTGCTGTTTTAATGTAAAATTCCCAAGTAGAAGCTCGTACCTACAGAGTTTCCCCTATTATGCGTCGAAAGAGTTTTTAAAAATCAGCTCGTTAATTTTAGTTAATTTCAGTAAGAATTTCTTTGACCCATTGAACTCAGCTCGACTCATTCGGATTAAAATTGGACATGATCTTCAACATGTTCATTCAACGTTTCTTTAACGTCTTAACCATACAAAAGCTCATCATGAGATTATTAATAAACCTGTATGTGTAGACTGTACCAGAATTAAAAAATTCATTGGTTCATTGTGAATAATTCTCACGTGGTAGGACGTTTAAAATATTATTGTATATCCCTGAATCAATGGGGATCGAGCAGACCAATCGTGGCAGGACTGAGAATTTCACAACAGCGATATTCTTTGACAAAAGCTCGCTAGGCTCGATGGAACGAGTACGGCAGGCTTTCCGAAGAAAGAGAAAAAGGAATATAGCGGGTAAAACTCGAGAGAGCACCGTCAATTTCCTTCCGCTTTCTGCTCCCTGTTCGTGTACCGTCCCACATTCTCGATGGGAAAAGTGAGCCGCGTACCTCGTTTCCATGCCCGGATATTAGAGTTTTATTGTCACGGGACACAATTATACCTTCTGATATACCCTCTATCGTTTTCCCTCTCTTCTTCTACTTTTTCCGCGTAGAATCATAGGCCATTGAATCCTCGCTCGATCTCGACGCGCTCCATCAAAATTAATGTTTCAATAATTTTTACTCGTGCCTGCAGTTTGCAGCGAAAACGAAACTCTCTCACAAAAAGGAATTTACTTCTCGTTTTATATTTTTTTTTTACATAGTGGGAGTGCGTTGGTCATTTTTAAAAACATGTTTTAATTACGCGTCCGACGTCGACGCAGTAAGTTTTAATTAATCGTTAAATAAAATATTGTGAACGCTTTTGACGTTTAATAAGCTCAATTACTGGCCGAAAAATTGAAAATAGTTTCGTTACATAATTCGTAGCTCGGGGCTCGTATCGCGCAATTATATTGTGGAGCTTTCAGTATGTCGATAACAAGTTTAAATTGCACGCGTGGGCCGTAGCGAAGCGCGTCCCGGAAAGACAGTAGTCATACAGAAGTTCCCTACAAATTGCAAACAAATATCGGATGCGCGTTAACGAGCGAAATTCAAGGGGCAACGTTTTGCCTTGCATACTGAGTCGATAAGAATACCCATTTCCGATCGTTCCATATTTATTTCGACGCGATCTCAAAGAGATGAATTTTCATTTATAATTAATACCGTACTTTACGTATCAGTCGAACCGACTTTAATCGACGACGGTTCTCGTCGACTCAAACATATGCGTTGAACTAGAATTCACAGACCACAAATAGTTTATACTTCGAGAATCGCTGTCTGAATAATTATTTGCCCTTTCGTTTCGACTTCGAATCCACATCCGTCTAGGAAAAGCACTTGCGCGAAGCGACTCTCGACAAAGTTTCTCGGTAACCGTCACGGTCGATTGTTGTCGTTGGCGAGCCAGGGACGTTCGCCCGGGAATCCCGTAGAAGAATGCTGGGACACGAAACCGGTCGACTCATGAATAGATGAGAGGCAGATAAAATTGAAAAGTTTGCCGGCGTTCCATAGGGATCCTGTACACAAGGGCTCGGCGTCGGTTGGTCGCCCGACACTTTCGGCTACTCTTCGGACACGGTTCGCGAGTCCCTCTCTTTCTGTGTACCGGGATTACATAGCATCCACCGTGGCTCATAACCGACGTACGCGAGTACATTCAACCACGAAGCCCATTTCAACATCGCCGTCGACTTTCCACCGTGATTTCCGATCCGGAGAAAGGAGCCTCTTCACCCGCCCAGTCTTTTAATCGTTGGCGATCCCACGCGAAAGAAACGAGATACGGTTATCTCTCTAAAAGGAATTTTTTCACAGCAAATTTCGTACGAAGTTAGATCAATAATTCCTCTTTTCGTATTCTGCCTGTACTCAAACCTAATTCTGTATTCTCTCGAGAACGGCATTGATATTAGAATTGCATTCATTAACGAGCTCGACTGGGGAATGTTTCAGGCAACCATCGCCAGGATCGGGAACGACCGGCACGTCAACGGTTTCTTCGACCGCACCGGACGGAGAGAATGGTCAGAGCATCGGTCTGTACCCGGTGGGAAGCGTGGGTCCAACGCCAACGGACTCGACGGCGGCCACGCCGATCACGACCACGGCGACGATACCCATGACGACCGCTGGGACCGTTGCTGCCACGGCGGCGGCCGGTCCCAGCATCGCCAGAAGCGCGTCGGCCCCAACGGCACCACGACCGGTCGTCCAATTGGCCAGTACCAGCAGTAATCCAGGCCCACAGAAACCCAGATTGAGGAGGACCATGAGTCGCACCGAGGCAATCAGGAAGTGAGTCGTGCAACACATCCAGTAATAAGCTCTCGCTTATAAAACGATGATGCAATATAATCCAGATACTTAAAAGACAAACAATTGATCTTGTACTGAATAATTCGTTTGTTTCAACGTATCCCGTTCTCGCATATGACAATTTGCATTTGGAAGATTTTGACAAGTTTAATTCTATAGACGCGTACAGGAATTAATCATTGTCGAGTTAATTAAAAGAACGACGAAAGAACGGACGTAGCGGCATGTCGGATCCGTGTCGATTCCATACGAGGCATTAGAATCCAACGAAATCAGTGCCGTGATCTTTATTACGTATTATTATTTTATTATTACGACGCTGATTTTACGGTGGCTAGTCCCCGCTGTGCGGATGCTGCATAAATCTCAACCCGGTACCGGGTAACTCGAACGGCGGTTTATTTTCCGTTTTCAGCTACATCAGACGCGAAACGGCGCAATTCTTTGGCGTGGACGAGGAGTCGGAGACGGTGGAGAGACAGAGATGGTTAGATCGAAGACGGAGAATGGCGTCGAGGAAATACGGTGCCCTTGTTCCGGAACACAGACCACCGGATCCTGATATTACAAGGGACGTGCCGGATACTACGGATGTGCCCGAGGTAAGTTCGCCGGTTATTAAGCTTCCGTGTTTCCCGACGCGAAACATATTTCGGTAAACGTGCGAAGTGAACCGACAAAAATTCATCCGAAACAATGTCAGATTCGTTTGAGCCTGTGATAAGGCCGAAATGAATTGGAATTCATTTGTACACCGAAGACGTATATGTATTTAACGAGTCTCTTAATGAAACCAGATATATGAATATTGATTGTTCGAACGAGCCACTTTATATTTATACATTTTTATTAATAAATTCGTTCGGCCGTATTTAATTTCCTTAATTATAAGCGAGAATCCGTTTTATCTCGTCGCTGGATTTTAATGAACACATTTTTTTCTCGTGTCTCTTTTCAAACTGCGTACTGTACCGACGTTTTTGTTGACGGTCCGTTTCTATACCCGAGAGTCTCCACCAGACGGGGGTGGAGGGAGCCGCGTTTTTAATAGATTTAGTAATAAGGGTCGTTTTGCGCAGGGTGTCACATTGAGAAGATGGCAGCAACCGGTGAGGCGAAAAGATTCTGTCGCCAGAATGACGCTTTCGGGGCTACATTACGTCGTCGAGGTGAGTCCTCTCATTTTAACTTTGACGATCATCGCGTATAAAAATATAATTTAAATGTCGTGTCGCATGTCATAATCAACGTCTATTTTGCGTACATCCGTTTCATATATTTTCTATACGTTTCTATTATTTTCATTCATTCATTCATTTTGTATCATGCAAATAAATATCATTTCATGACTGTTAGCATTAGTTTCTGTCGGGTTGATGAACGAAACAGTAGAAGCGGATCACGAAATCGTGTCACAAGTTAGATACAAAATTATATAATGATACATTCCGAGCGGGGAGCTATTCCTTGTTACGTGTGCACTACATCCCATGTGTAATTCCCATTCCCTCCCAACGTATAAATGATAAAGGCAAAGGAGATATTAACAGCGATACTTGTGCCCTTTGCTGAGACATATGTTCCTCCGAAATTTCCATGTGCAAGACGAACATGTGCGAAAGGAAACGGTGCAACGTTTCGCTCTTCGTTATTGCCGATGAGGATCGGGGTGAACCTGTTAATCAGCGTTTCGTTATCGTGAACGTCGGCGGGCGACGCACTATTCTAAGTTTCCTCGTGTTAAGTTGCACGTTTCGACGGAACTCGGTGCGATCATTAAGCTAACGAGCTGGCGGGTAACCCCTTCCGGTTTCCGGGCATCGTGTCTCACGTCGAACCGGCTTTGATATCTGTTTAACTCGCCCTATCGCCCGTTCGGTTACTAATTTCAAACATGCGTTAATTAACGATTGCTAAACTATCTACGATCAAGCACCTCTCACCCGATTCCCAAAAAGGAGACAGTGACAAGTTTAATAAAACGCTCATATCTCGTGTCACGGGTTTCTGTTTTATCGCGGAGTCTTGGTATCTTTTTTATACCGAAAGTAGCGCGAAATTTTTCGGTGGAATCTCGTCGACGAGCGATCGCCAGTTTTCCAATGCAGCAACCGATTTTTATCGGCGGAATTCGATTGAAAGTTATTGTATCTTCTCCGTTTTTCATTTTCTCCGATCTCTTCGCCGGAGTTGCAGGAAACGTTTAACCATTATGATTAAATTATGAAGTTCAACGTGGCTGCCGGTAGCCTCGTAGCAGCGCAAGTTTTTAATCGATGCAGATTAATTAGTCGACACCGTTCATTCCTTGGAACGATTCATAAAAGATCGCGTTACCAGCTATTAAACTATAGAACGGTCGACCGGTTAATAGTGACGAGGAACGAAGTTTATAGAATAGCGATTCTAAATAAATTATATAGAAAGCCACGAAACATCATGTATGATCATGCCTTCAATTGTGGAACGAGTACACAAAAGGCTGTACTATTAGAAATTTTCGTTAAGCTTTCTTAGACTCGTTGAAAGTTTCCTATTGAACAATCCCGTTTTGTACAAGTTCCTTCGAGGTTCCTTTGAATTTTCATCGTACCTCGAACTTATCTCGTTTCTTCTCAGTTAATTAGCTTTTTGACTTTGTTTCGAATTCCATTGCGAATGTTTTCGCGTCTCGGAGATACGAAAAGGCGCGGCCTCAGGCGAACGCAACTGTGCCTATTAAGATTAATGAAAACGCCGGAAGTAAGAGAAATTATGTTATAGGAATTTCAAAAGGAACAGAAAAGGAATCATTCGTGCTGTAAAAGCAACTGTATAAACCGTCGGATTTAAATCAAATTGCAGAACAGTATATTCATTCTATCTGAAATGCTCAATTTGAATGTACACGAAAAATACACGTCGTGCCGTAAAGTCAATCGAAAGAACACAGCGAATGGCAGACACAGCTCTGTTCTCAGTGGCTCAGAGTCTGCCGTCCGGCGAGCAGACCTTACGTCTGACTCGCGAGGCAGAGTACCACTCGTGTTGCTTTACATGCAGCTGTAAGCATAAGCTCCGACGGTAAAACGGAAGCGAAAGAGAAAGAGAGGGAGGGATGTTAGTCAAGAATGAGCGGGTAAAGAAAGTAGATTTAAACTAGAGACAACGACAGCATGTAAACCCTCTTTGACACTTTGCCTCCTCCACCCTCGCTGCCTCTCTCGCGACTTTACTGGAACGAGCACAATCGACAGGATAAAAGAAACAAACGGATAGATCCGTGAAACTCTTTACTGCCTCGCCCCCGTGCCGTGTACACACCAAGTTCAAACGAAGCTTCATTTTCACAGAAACTGCCACTCCCGGAATTTTACCGAGTTAACTGGAAAATTTTATTGTCGCTGAAATGTGTCACAAAGTTTTTCCTTTACCTACTCCTCTCCACCCGTTCGTCTCAACCGGGAAAATCTGAGAACGCGAGCTCCCGCGTTTAATTAGCAATAAATTAACTTTCCTTTTGTGTTGAATTAAATTAGACGCTTAGTACGATTCTCATTAACTGACGGACAATTTGCGAGATTAGATTTTGAATCTTTACGAAATTCGTCTCATCGTTACAAAAATATAACGCGTACGAGTGTCTGGCCCGAACGAAGCACACTCGTGGAATACGCGACGTAGGGAAACGACGAGCCGGCGATCGTCGATCGGTCGAACGTAACGAACCCGGATCTGTTTTATCTCAATTACGATTCGAAAATCGGAACGCCCAGGGATAGGACCGGAGAGTACAGAGACTGATCACGAATCTGAGGCGCGGATCGTTGATAAAAGGGAGTCAAGTTTAATTACTCCACTGCTTGAGACTGACTCGTGAGAATGCCGTCTAATAGAATTAACGTTCAACTTTATGAACGCTCGCAAGCGATCTCATTTCAAGCTCTTAAAAACACGAGCTTTGAACAAACTGGCTCTCGTCGAGACATGTATATGAACTAAAGATGAGTCACTTCGCGTCGCAAAGGGGAAGGGAAATATTAGCTAACAGTAAACACGGTGAAACGGTAAGAAAAACTGAAAAGGGGTAAAATAATCGAGCACGTGAAATGAAAATAACCGTGACGTCGCTCACAATGAAGATCGTAGTAATTGTTATACGTTTGCTCGTTATCGTGTTACAACGACGCGAAGCGTTCGTCGATTAACGACGTGACGCAATCGAGCCGCGCAATTTTGCAAAGGGTTCGAGCGAATTCCGCGTAGAAAAAAAGCGTTAAGCCCCTTTCGTTGTTTTTTAAACGAGCTTTGATTGAAACGAAAGGATGAAAGAGTGGATAGACGGGGAAACAAACAAAAAATTGAGAGCCCTTTTGATACACGGTCGAAACGTCGGTGAAATTGCGCAATAAAATCGTAGCTACTGTCTCTCGCATAATTACGAGATTATTGTTTGGCCGAGGTCAGCCCGAACTCGGGACGCGGTACGAGCACTAAATAAATGTAGATTCGCCGTTTGTAATTTCGACGACCGAGAGAGGAAATTGATTCCCGACAGGATTCGCCCATTGTTCCTGTATTCGAATGTCCCCATTGTACACGGCCATTCTGTCTGTTCCCTTCGATGTCTCTTCTCCTCGTTCCTCTGCCACGTCGCTCTTTATTACCCCGTTGTTCTTTGTTCTTCCTGCTTTCCCCGTTCATAATGCCCGCACGTTCGAGCCTAATGCAAACGTTTCACGAAAAAAAAAAAAGAGAGAGAGAGAGAGAGAGAGAGAGAGAGGAAGAGAGCGGAGACTACCGCAATAAACGCGTGGATCTCGCGGCTGATTTTTAATATCGTGCCGAATATCGGCGGCGAAAGAGACACGACGTTTTACTCTGCGAGATACTGAAACGTCCAGAGGTACCATTCGAGCTCATCGAGACTACGGTCCTTGTTATTCTGAACGTGCATGTATCGTCATTGGCCTGCAGGCGATTCAAGAGATAAGATCGGGGCATAAAATTTGTAACGAGCTTCAGTAATGAATCGCGTGCACGATGGAACACGAACTGGAAAAAAGGGTGCACGAACGCGTGATTCTTGAGACAGCAGAAAAGCGGCAGGCGGTCGGGCGCGTTACTCGTTTTCAGGTCACGCGTAAAATATTCTAATGGGCCTCAGTGTATACAAACGGCACACTTTTCGCTTCGAACAGCGAACGAAACACGGTAGTGGGCCGTACATCCAACCGGTAGCCGTGCTAAGTGGCAAGTTTTGAAATACGGTCGACGGTTCTGTACCGCAGTCCCTCTCTTTCTCTCTCTCGCTCTCTCTTTCCGTATAACTTTACCAGACCAAACTTCCGGTGGACAACGCTCCACCGCGGGGTTAAAACGGATTCACGGCGTGTGCAGCGCGTTTCCTCCTCTCTGTTTGCCGAGAAGAAAGCCAAGTCCCGGCGGCTGTTGTCTCGCTGCTAATATTTGAATTCGCTAAACGCTAAGGACGCAGCGAAAGTTACATCGTAACGGGGAAGCAGGAATTAAGACGCTCAGTGATCGCGCGTATAGAGAGCAATGGATTCTCGATGAGTATTACACGATCGACGTCTCTTTTTTCGATACAACTGTTCCAGCGCGATGTCCGTGCGCGATTCGACCATGACGAAACGGATTTGATCTCACGAGAAATATGATAAAACCCGGTCGTTGAACCTCAACGAAGGTTCAATCGCGATGAAACGAGACCCTGTTCGATTCGCCGGATGGAACATCGCCGAGCGTGATTCCTAGTGTCGCAATAATGAAAGTATAAATATTCAGGCACGGGCATACATAGACGGGTGGAGGCGCGTGGACGCGAAATCGATGCAATTCATTAGGATATCTCACCGGTTGATCCCTCGACCTGGTCGATCCGCTTGATGCCACGCACGTAATGCGTAGAAGCGGGCTCGGAGATATCGGGGGTTAGCCGTGTCTATCGAGTCGCATGCACATGCATTTAAATTGCCAAAATTATAGTTTATCGGTGTACCGGGCGAATCGACGCTACCATGACTGCGCGATCGGAACGATCTTACTTTAGGACGGGAGGGGGCCGAAATTGGTCGGGATATTTTGAAATATTTTATACCTACGTGGCCGCGGAGCCGTGCGAAATTTTCAGCCGATGTCGCGCACCTGGGATTTTTTCAAAAAAGTA